AAATCCTTTGTCTCTTCAATAGTGACCATGATACTTTCAAAATCATCAGTCATATTTCTCAAGATCTTTTCCGCAACCCGGTTAGGAGGAACCTCTTCTCCGTTCATTCCAAGTTGGTTAGCCATCTTCTGCACTCGAGTTATAAACTCGGCAACTCTTTCATTTTCATCCATCTCCATATGTTCAAACTCTCTTCTGAGAGCTTGTACTCAAACCTGCTTCACGCGGGTATCTCCTTTGTATGCCACCTTCATAATTTTCCATGCTTCTCTTGTTGACTTTGCATTAGCTATTTTCTCGAATCTAGATTCATCTACTGCATTATACAGGAAGTACAAAGTCGATCTGCCTTTTTCAATGCAGTAATCTGGTTCACTGTCTGATGCTCATCATTCACGGGTTCATTGTACCAGTCCTCCACTATGTCTCATACATCTTGGGATCCAAGAAGAACCTTCATCTGCAAAGACCAATTATCGTAATTGGTATTTTTCGAAAATTGTGGCACACTCATCCCATTGACTACCTTTGTCATCTCTCATAAAAAAATCAAGCACTCACTTTTTTCTCTCACGGTGTTTGACTCTCTCCTCTCTCTCTTTTTCTCTCTCTCTCAGTACTCAGAGCATAAAGCTCTGCTACCACTTATGAGAAAATCTCACAATATACGCACTCTGATATTTTACTGAAATTGAGTCTTACTATTCATTGATAATTGAAAGGCTTTAAATAGCCATAACACTTACAATATTACGGAGAATAAAAATAAAATATCAACTATCTTAAAAATAAAATCGGTTTAATCTATCATAAAATAATATTGTACCTATATAAACCGAAAAATCATAATTACGTATCCCTATTTTATCTCTATCAAATCAAACTAAATATTACTATACCCAAAAACTAATAAAATAAGATTTAAACAAAATTATTAATAAAACTCTAAAATTTAACTTATCCCAACAGAAACAAGTTTCATGTTCAATTGTAAACTCAAAACACATAGGATATATATCCCTACGTGGATTTAAGGATTGTCACATAATATTTTGTCTTCTATTATTCGGTCATGGATGTCACCAATAATGAATTTCCGATCCTACATTAGGCCATTGTGCATGGATATGGAGAATGATAATTGGCGAGACCTTGCACCATTGCATAGCTGCCTAGAAAATATTCGAAGTATTTTGGTTCAGTGTGACATGGAGTTTCAACTATCTAAACAGCTAAACAAAATTTTTGTGGAAGACAGTGCAAATTTTACAGAATCAACAAATCATAGTTTGAGGTTTTCCCTGATTGGTGTTGGAAGTTGCAATGAATTCTTGAACACTCTCAGCGATGGCGTTTCTAAGGTTCCTTCTCTATCTTTGAGCTTTGTGTACATACAACATGAACTGATCCTAATACAGTATCTAAACAAATTAGAATACTCACTTTTTTTTCACTTGTGGTTTCTATAGTCATAATGATTCATTTAAAAGTAATTAATTTTAATGAATGAGCCAAACAATGATGTTTGTTATTAATAGTAAAGCTATAAATTGAAAGGCACCTAAAACTTAAACCGAGATGCACAACAAAACCATTAATATTTTTTTATATATGTATTACATTATAATTTGAAGGGTTAAATATGTTTTTGATTCCTTAACTTTTAGTGAAATTTGGAATTAGTCCTTCTTCAAAACTTTGGCCTAATTTAGTCCCCAAACTTTAAAAATGTGTGAATTTAATCCTTTGAACTAAATTTTGTTAGGTTTATTTGATGTTTCAAGTGCGTTTCATGATAGCATTTGAGTTGTTTATACCATTCGACACATTTTTGCTTCAATATTCACTAGGAAATGCGTTTGAAACATCAAATAAAGTTAACAAAATATGATTAAAAGGACTAAATTCACACATTTCTAAAGTTTGGGGACTAAATTAGTCCAAAGTTTTGAAGAGGGACTAATTTTCACTAAAAGTTAAGGGATCAAAAACATATTTAACCCTAATTTGAATTAAAAATGTCCATATTTGTAATTTTGAGTGATAAACTAGTGATTGTAGGTGATTGTTTGAATAGAAAAATTACATACATGATTAAGCATTTCATCTGCTGGTACAGGAATTGGCAAGTAGTGAGTGTTGTGATGTTAGTCTCCCATGTGACAACCATCCTTATTGGTTGGGCCATAGGGGTGAGGGACCTTCAGTATATTTCAGTGTGCCTAAGGATTGTGAAATGAAGGGAATGGCTTTGTGTGTTGTTTATTCATCAACCCCTGAAATAGTGGCAACTGAATGTCTTAGAAGTGTCTTAATAGTTAACTACACAAAGTGCACATGTCAAATACACAAGCATGGCACAGTAATGTCCTTTGACGATGAAGATTGGCATGGCATAATGTCAAATTTAGAATATGATGACAAGGTAGAGATTTTTGTGAGTTCTGTTCATGGATTAATGGTCAAGAACACAACAGTCTATTTCATATACGATGAATCGAAATGACTTGTGGCGAAAAAACTAATTCAATAGATTCAAATATAAAATTGTAATGTGACTTCTGCTAAGTTATTTATCTTCTTCGGGAACAGCAGGATCCCTTTATTTATGGAATTAATCCTTGTGAGCTTCATTGTTATTCATAGTTAACAAATTCAATGTTTATTTAATCCTTGTGTGCTTCATTGTCAATTATAGTTAAGAAATTCAATGTTTATTTTACCTGTCTCTCATTTCTTGCATTATATCTTCTTGGTTGTGCTTGAGTTGTTTACTGTATTTCTTTCTAGTTGCTCTTAGTTTTGTATGTAATAATAATAATGATAATGAAATTGTTGTTGTTATTATTATTATTGTAATAAAATCCTATGTACAAGAACTACTAACTAAACAAGATTATAATACTAACTTTATGTAAAAGAAATTGGAGTTTGTGATGATAATAAGTGGGGCGCTTGCTTGTCTTCTGAGCTGACCCTAAGCGCAACCTTTGACCCGCACACCGCTGAGCGCCATAAGTGGGGCGCTGAGCGCTAGTCTTGTGGGCTTGGACCCGTTTTCTATTATTTTTATGTTCTATTTAAGGACTTGGACGTCCTTGGATTCACATCTTTGGACGAAATAGGCACAGAAACACACTCTTTGATCTCTCGGAGGCGGATTTGGATGCGGAAGCTCCTATCTTTAATATCTAGGGTTTTATCTTACATTCCTTTTCCATTGTTCATCTAGTTTCACCATGTCAATGGTGAACTAAACTCTATTTGTTGTTGGGGAATGATGTAACCTTTGTAAACTCTCATGTATTGAATAGATTCTTGATTATATATGCTTCTTTCATTAATTGTTCGGGTAATTCTTCTTTGTGTAATGCTTGCTTTGTTTAACTCATTCTTTAGCATGATGTATGATTTGCATGAGTACCGAAAGGTGTCTTACAATTCATGATCTGGAGAAATATTCCCAGAAGCAGTATTGCTCATGAATGGGAGTATGAGTTCTGGTTGTCTTAAGCTTGTGTTCTTCAGAATTAATTATTAGGAATGCTAGGAATCGTATGAACTAATAACTAAGGATATGCTTTCTTCGCCGAGGAATCGAGTTTTGAGTAGTTTAGATAGTGACATTGACATTAATAAAGAAGTAGAATTCGTATATACATGAGAGTAAACTAGGAGAAATCTAACCCTAACAACATATTCATTCCATAATATTAAACCCGTTCATCTTTGCACTTTTGTCCAATTGATCAATTTGCATGCATATTTACTTTTCAGTATTTGCATTCTAAACCTAAAAGAGTTTGTTTTCAAGTCTTATTTAATCAAGAAATCACATAACTATTTAGGCCGTGAGTTTCTAGATAAACGATACTTGGTCTTACCATGTTTATTACTTGATACGATTCAGTACACTTGTCGGAGTCTTAACAATATACAAAACAAATCAAAACGAGGACAAATTCAGATAATACTGATGGGGATGAGTTTATTTTCCATGTCTAACTTCAAATCATAATGAGCTCAAACTTCGTTGTTTACTTATTTCAAATTACTTAAATTATGCATCTTTATCAATCATAAGAAAATATATAGAAGTTTACTCTACTCATCTCAATCTATTTTAAACTCAATTCATTAAAATTATATAGTTCACAAGCATAATCTAGTCATCATATCAAAATATCAATAAAAGTATCAAATTCAAATTCAACAAAAATTTACAAGACAAACTCAATAACATTCAAATTTAAACATTCCAACAATTTTTGAATCAATCACAATCCTTACACAAAAACCAAAAACCAAAATTCAATTATAAAGTGACTTTCATATTAATATTATCTGTCCTAAAGCTATACAAATGAAATAGAAATAACTTTCTTACTTGAAATGCTTATCTTCAAAGCAATTTTCAAAATTTTAAGCAAAAATTATTCTTAAACCTAGAATAAAGTATCTAAATGTGACAAAATTTCAAGTGTTAAAATAAGTCGAGAAT